GGTGCTATTCACATAACAGTAACAGATAACATATGTATATTGATGATTGACTGCTTCATTGTACTTACCTGTGTAATAACCTGAAAATGTTATGTATGGGGAACAGTTAAATAGCACTGGTTATTGCCTTCTATGCCTTGGTACTGTATCTTAGTTCATGTTTTGCATTTATTAGCTTCAGTTACTAGATATCATTCACTAGGTAGGTGATTGAATGTTCAAAATATCATGAGAATTTTTGCAGGTGCTCCAAATGATTGATTTTATAGTTTTTATACACCTGTCAAATTTGACGGGAGTATTATGGTATGGCGTCGTCCGTCCGTCCAGCGTAAACTTTTATTGTCCGGCAATCTCCCCTACATTTTTCGACTGATCTCTTTGAAACTTGGTATACATTATAATCATGATATGAAGTTGTGTTTCCATAATAAAAAAATTGATTTGACTATTTTTGCAAAAGTTACTGCCCTTTGTTTATTTCAGTATTTTATTTTTTTCCAGAGATCACTCCTACATTTTTCGAACGATTTATTTGAAACTTGTTAGGCTTTATAATCATGATATGTTGTTGTGTTTGTACAAAAAGAATTTTGATTCAAATATTTTTGCAAAAGTTATTGCCCTTTGTTCATTTCAGTATTTTATTTTTGTCCGGAAATTTCCTCCTACTTTTTGACCGATTTCTTTGAAACTTGGAAATCGTTATAGTCATGTCACATAGTTATGTTTCAAAGAACAAATTTTTGATTCGACTATTTTTGCTGAAGTTATTGCCCTTTGTTTATTTCTAATACTTGAATCTTGTCCGGAGATCTCCTTCTATAGTTTTCTATCGATTTCTTTGAAACTTTGTAGGCTTTATAATCATGATATCAAGATGTGTTTAATGAGTTGGAGACTAATCTTTTGATTACTTGTTTTCCTCGAACTGTTAGAAAATTAAAGAAAATTGAACATTGTCTTTATAGTGTAAGGTGAGATTTATAGCATGCTAGCTAGCCACTTTTAAGGTGATGCAAATCTTATTTTAATACAAGATAGTATATAACACTATATTACATTCGACGGACGTATATTGTTCCGCCCTGCAGTACTCTTGTTAAAATACAGTAACATGGTAATTACTAACGGATCCTTACATAAGGTTTATATATGTAATGACCTACTTACTCCATCAATAAGTAAAGAAACAAAACATCTGCTTATCAGTAAACATGTACTTCTCACTATCCATTTGTTCACCAAATTAATATTTATGAAGATATTTGATACTTATTAGTGTTTTATGGTAATTTGGTTATATCATTAATTACATGATGATAAGGAAACAAGTAATTTTTGGAATGACAATTGAAAGCATGCAGCTTTGAAATTATTTATTTGCATAGGTGTAAACATCACTAGACTAGTTTTTAATGGTCCTTATTTATTTCAAACATATTCAAGAACAGGAATTTTTAACTGTCAAAAATGTTGGTAAATATACATGTAATTAATTGTTGGAGCTTTATCATATGAGTATGTAGTCTATGTTACAGAGGGCTAACATGTCAATTCTAAGCATTTTGTTTGTATTAATCATTAAATACCATAATTTGTTCTTTTCAAAAAAAAAATTTGATATAAGCCAAACCCAAATGAAACCTTGCAATTTAAGTATCAACATTTATTCCGTCTTTGCGTATTGCAGAGCTATCCTCTCTTGGGAGCAGGTATTGATTGGTACATCATTGGTTTGTGTGAGAAAATTACGTCGTTTTCTCAAAAATTGATGAGGTTACTCTCACAAACAAGTGACGTAACAATCAATACCTGCTCCCAAGAGAAGATAACTCTGCAATATGCAAAGACGAAATAATCAAAGTACACTTCAGAATCTCATGCCTCTTTTTAATGTGCCAGGTGTAGGTAGCTGTGATTTTGCATATTTACAAGTAGTAATGATGTTATTGTTAAATAAAAAGTTGTGTTTATTATTCACATTGTTTTATTTAAATCCTTCAAGAATCGCTCTAGGTTTACACCGTCTGTCCAGAAAACTATCCACTATGTCTTCTGTACTATTTCACTTGGAGAAACCAGAATTTGTATGCAAGTATATCTTGAGATGGGAGAGTGCAGAGTACAAGAAGTAGGTCACAGTGACCTATGCTTTGACTGTTGACCTTAACCATTGTAAAAGTTAGTCACAGGCATATCTCCAATATTATTTTAACTGGACTAGCCAGCTTTGGTATGCAAGTACATCCTAGGATGCCGGAGTGTAGAGTACGAGAAATAGGTTGCTGTGTCCTATGCTTTGTTTTTATAATCTGACCTTTGACTTTAACCTTTGAGACAGTGTTTCCAGGACATATTTTCTATACTATTTCAACTGGCATAACCAGATTTGGTATGAAAGTAAATACTGGGATGGTGGAATGTAGAGTAGGAAAAGAAAGTCCTTTTGGCCTTAACCTTTAAATATTTTGTCAAGAGCATATGTTCTGCAGTATTTCACTCACATTAACAAAATTCAGTATGAGATGGAGGCGTGCAGAATACAAGAAGTCACTGTGACCTATGCTTTGACCTGAACCTTTAAAAAGTTTACAAATTTAGGTCACTGTATTATGCATTTTGACCTCTGACCAGTCACTTAAAAAGTTGGTTGCGGTTTCGAGGCCTTCTAGGAACAATATCCAGGTATTCCTGTTTTCCTCCACCTCCCAAACCTCTTGAATGACCATAGCTGTTAAACGACATAAAGCAAAAACAAAACAAACTAATTCATAGTTGTGCATGTTTTGGCAGGTGAAGTATGTTATCACTATTTCACAAAAAGTGAAGGACAATTTTTTCTTAAATTTTGTATGGAGGCTTCCCTTGGGTCCTTAGTTATGCATGAGAAAATGGCTACCAGGCAGCCATCTTAGATTTAGACAGTTTAGAGTTGTTACAAGCTCACCTGGTACTATAAGAGTCAATGAGCTTATAGTTTGATGCAGCATCTGTCATCCATCAGGTTTTTTTATGTCACCTGAGACAAAGTCTCAAGTGACCTATTGCAATCGCTTTTTGTCCGTCGTGTGTCTGTAAACAATTTACATTTTCGTCTTCTCCAAAACCCCTGAACTAATTTCAATGAAATTTTGCAGGAATCTTTCATGGACAATGGTCAACAAAAAGAGTGGCCGGATTAGTCCCAAGCCTGAGGGTCAAATTGACTAAAATTTCAAAAATCTTCTTCTCAACACCCAGATATGGTAGAATCAAATACTCTACATAGATGGAAGGGTCTTAAGGTGCTTTACCAAAGTTGTGAATTTCATTACCCTTGGGTTTCACGTTTCCCCCTGGGGAGGGGGTAAACTTTACTTTAGTTTATATAGGGAAATCTCATTTTGGACCAACATTTGTTTAATTTCCATTGGAAGTAATTCAATTTAGGTTTTCATTATCAGTATTAGGTAGCAGTTTGATAGTATGCACATATCAGCCCTGACTGACCCCCTGGGGCTCATGGGTGGGGCCAAAAAGGGTTGAATTGACTGAAATTTCAAAAATCTTCTTCTCAAGACCAAGATATGGTAGAATCAAATACTCTTCATAGATGGAAGGGTTTTAAGGTGTTTTACCAAAATTGTGAATTTCATGACCCTGGGGTCTCACATTTCCCCCTGGGGTGGGGGTAAACTTTGCTATAGTTTATATATGGAAATCACATTTTGGACCAACATTTGTTTAATTTCCATTGGAAGTTATTCAATTTGGGTTAGCATTATCCGTATTGGATAGCAGTTTGATGGTATGCACATATCAGCCCTGACTGACCCCCTGGGGCTGATGGGTGGGGCCAAAAAGGGTTGAATTTACTGAAATTTGTAAAATCTTCTTCTCAAAGACCCAGATATGGTAGAATCGAACACTCTTCATAGATGGAAGGGTCTTAAGGTTTATGACCCTAGGGTCTCACGTTTACCCCGGGGGAAGGAGGGGGAGGGGAATTTATTATGGTTTATAACGGCAAATGATACTTTGAATATTACATGTTAATAACTTGATTGGAATTATAACCTTGAGTTGACAGTTTGATACTTTGAAAATTTTGAGCCAGTCCTATCCCCAAGGGCTGTAGGGTGGGGCCCAAAGGAGTCAGTGTGCTAAAATTTCTTCATTTTCCTTGTTTAGAATCAGAGGTGCTAGTTTCAAATACTTTTTAGTCTTAAATCTGTATGCTAGATATTGAATAAGGTGGTTTTATTGTTTTTTGTCACTGTGAATAATATTTCTGTTCATGTTAAAAACAAAATCAACTCCTGTATAAATATATCAGGTGACCGTTAAGGCCCATGGGCCTCTTGTTACCAGTAAGTACCAGATAGAGAGTGCAATAATGTTTCAAAAACGACCTTGATCTACTTTGAAGGTCACAACAGTCAAACATGTAAACATATTTATATGACTTTTTCTAAACCACCATACTTGAGTATGATATGCAGATTAGCAGTGCTTTTTAATAGATCATTGTGTTTAGGTCAAAGTTCAACTTTAAGCACTGGTCAGGGTTAAAGGTTAACATTGGCTATAGTTGGTAAAAAGCTTTGTAAGTTCTATAAGTCCTAGGGTCCTGATTTTAGCCAGTAGGTACCCGACATGGAGTGCTATGAAGTTTTCTTATATAATGAAACTTTTCCTAATTTACTACCTAGTATGTTTAGGTCAAAGAGGGATGGGGCGAGAAATATATAGCACCCTCTCTACACTGATATTTTCATGTGCAACACCTGATCCATTGATTCCAGTTTCAATTTGCCCCCAAAATCAGTTGGTTCAGACTGTAGCAATGCCAGGTTGGCACATCAGGCCCTCAAGATTATTAACGCTCCACTATTAGATCTGTCTTAAAGTTAAAGCAAAATGTGAAGTACTATCAAGCTTGAAGCAAGGGGTTAAGCATTGCATATCATTTCAACGCTTGAACATGCACAAATCTGAGGAAAACTCGAATACAGGTATATAAATATTTCTGAATCTCGGATTTAATTTGCAGAAAACAAAGTTTTTCATTTTGACATTTGAAAATCATAAAATGGAATCAAGATTGTAAATCATAGTGATATGCAACCAGAAAATACACCAAAATTGCTTCATCAAATAAACTACATAATAAAGAGAAATGCAAAGTTAATGTGATTACAATTGTAAAATCAAACATTGGGATCCTAAAATAAAACTTATCTTAGCACCTTAGCTCGACACTTTGCATCACACAGCCATACTGAACCAAAAGATATTTTACAAAGAATTTCAAATAGTAGTAATCCAGGAAATTCTTTGCTTTAGTCCTTTCAGACAATAAGATAACTTCATAAATGCAATAAATATCAAAAAGCTGTGAGGTAATGAAATTACCAGCATCAGCACAATAAATGCTTTACGATATGTCAACATGTTTTATTATTTATGTTGGATAACAATTTATAGCAATCAAAATATGATGTGTGACAACAAGTCTTAATCAAGGAATTGGTTACAGCTCAAAGAATAAAATAAATTGCTATCAATTTTCCACATGTAATAAATTTCTTAATATTTCTTCAGAAATGTTCTTATTAATTTCATTTGTTTACAATATTGTTGCCAATACTATGTGATGTCACAAAATCTAACATGATATGTCATATCAGGATGTCCCAATACAGGTGAACTTTAATATGACTACTGCAAAATAATGGGTAGCTCTTACACACAGTTCCAACTTGTTATTTGTACATAGGGCCAAGTACATGAGCATTAATTGCAGTTAACAGTTCAGTTATTTTAATTTTAAAATGCACAAATACACACTCTGAATATATGTAAACTTCATAACTTAGGCATCTGTTCATCCCTTTGTTCAATATAAGTAGGACAGGGATAAAACAATACAATCCAGAATGATGTGGAAATGCAACAGAAAAATTTAATCGAAAAATCTAGTACAACATTGGTCTTTTGTCCAAGGTACAAAGAAAGCACATCCAGGACAAATACAAGCTGTTCTCTGAAGTACTGTAGTGATGCTTGCATAATGGATTTTAATTACTGTAATCAATTGTTTGACAAATAACAGCATTCAAAACTTAATATCAATTTCTGTCTGCTCTCTCTACATAAATGGTTGCTAACTAACCACAACATTTTTTGTATTTTTTTTTGCAGTTTATCAGTAATACCACTCACTTTCCTAGTTAATAAGTTTATTATTTCAATCACAAGGAACATGCACCAGTATTGATTATATAATGTACACACTATAAAGAAAAGCACAAGTAAGTGTGTAGGCATTGTGTTAACAATATGACACAGTGTCTCAACAGGAGTAGATTCCATCTAGCACTGATGCCCAGATTAAGTGATGATGATGGGACGCACACAAAATTATTCATTCTTGGAACAGTACTGATTTAGCATGCCATGGTGGCATTATGCAAGTTCTGTGCAACTTTGTCCCAGTTTACAATATTCCAAATAGCCTTCAGGTAATCTGGTCGGACGTTTTTATACTGTAGATAGTAAGCATGCTCCCAGACATCAATGCCAAACAGAGGAACCAGTCCTGTAACACAGAAATACATTGAATCACATTTAAATTTAGAAATAGTTTAAGCTAACAACAGTTATACAGCTCTGTATCCCTAGCTTACTGCGAGTACACATATTCAAATTCACTTGCAAATAAATCATTTGTCAAATGATTTAAATACACAGTTACTAGAAAAGTTTATTTTTTAAAACATACGAACTGCACACTTATCCTTGGCAAATGTTATGTAATAACAAACAAGAGCATAATGGCTATAGCATTCGCCAGGAAATTTCAACAGTTGGTAGAAATGTGATACATGTAGTTTATTTGAGTAAATTTTACTGAGTCCTTCCTCCCAGCAAATTGTAGGCCAGATATGACCCAATGCCATGTGGTTCTTATGAAAAAGCATTAAGAAACAGTTGATGGACAGAAAACAAGATAAACATTGTATTTCAGTGACAGATCACCTTTGTCCTTCAGACCAGATGTGCTATCAAATATAAATCACCTTATGAAAATTTGTGCCTGATTCAATATTGATACACAAAATGTGTTGAAGGAAACCATTTAATATGGTATTAGTATGTCTGACTTTTTGACTAAAAAGTTCTAAAATATTCCTGTGCCATTGGACTGCAATTAATGAATATGATGCCAAAATATCATATCTTAATACAATGTACACTTAAAGGGGCTGGCCGGGGAAAAAATACAATATAAATGGGTCTAAATGCATTCTCTGGCCTTCCAAAAGATATACCACGGCAATATGATGGTCGAGTTCTGCTTACATTGTCCAGTTTTTACCACTGAAATCTCGGGGAAGCCCCGCGTAAATTTAGCGCAGATCTATTTATATATGTCACGTGGTTGTTTCGAAAGTGACGCAGTGAGGATAACAACAATAACACGCCGTCATGTGCCATGTCGGACTCAACTAGTGGACAAGACAGCAATACCATACGTAAATAATTGTTTTCAAAGGTCATGTATGATGCAAGTGTAGTATTCCTACCTATAGGTTGTTGTTATATATAACGGTATTGATACCTCGTGCCTGTCATGACTTTTGCATGCATCTTTTTTATTCGCCGCGATGTTTACATTTGGCCTTGTTGATGACGCGCGTGCGGTAAAATTACATCACTGATCTTGGTCAATTGAGAGTTTTAGACTGTCAGGTGACGATTTAGGATTTCTTAAATATTATTATAATTTTTACTCTTAGGGAGTGAATTTCAGCAAAATTTCTTTATTTCATAAGAAGGTATTTTAAACATGTGTATGCCATTTTAGCAAATATGACATTTTTTCCCCAACCAGCCCCTTTAACAGTGATTCAAGTGAGTACCGGTCAAAGGTCATTGTCTTACCAACCTAGTCCATCATTTCATACCTTTACCAAATGTCCAATTAAAATGTCATTAAAAGTAGAAATTGTTCCGAATTCTTCCAAGGTCAACAACCTACCACTTCATCTCATTGAAAACTGTATTCTGAATGTGTTTAGAAAGCAATAACAAATATATACAGATATGTACTTACCAGCCATTTTTGAGCTTCAGGAAAAAGTGTTTTTTGTTTAGTAAAACTTATTCCATTCACAACGCAATCTTTATGGCCTATCAAAACTAACAGCTCATAATGGGCTAAACATTTGAACTAATCAGCATGTTGTTTTTTTGGGGGGGGGGTTTCCAAAAAATAATCCAATTTACACTAAATTACATTACCTGTATTACATATATATCCAATAAATTATCAGTAATACTGTGTAGCCTCCATCTTATTGTTTCTACTCTCTAGCCTTTATTTTATCAAACATTTGATCTCAAGTTGAAAAACTGACTGCATTGCATGATGAAGATGCATGCATTCCTCTTTATGTATTATCTCACAAGTACATGATAGAATCAAAAGTTATTTTATCTAGAATAGTGGTGTTCCACACCATGTAATTATATATGCACATGTAAAATGAATATGCATGGATTATTGGAGTTTATTGGAGTAAAATGTATCTTCATCCAATCAAACTTGACATTTATACGGCAAACAGATGGACAGAATGCCATACAAAACAGGGAAAAGCACATAATACATGGAAGTGATAGACTGTCCATCAGCACATATATTGAATGTCCATCAGCACATATACATCATACCAAATGTACAGATAGATTAGAAGGTGGTAATTTGTTAATATTGAAGTAAAACATTACTGAATTCTTAAATGTGTCAATGGTTTTTCAGGGAGTAGGCAATGAAATATTGTACGATTTGATGGATGCTTAAGTCACAGCTGCTTAGAACATGCTTTTAATGAAAGAAATACAATTTACACAAAAAAAAACATGTACAGACAAGAACTACCAGAAGGATTGTCACTTATCAAGATATCACATTATTATTATTGGCATTCTTTCACTGCAGATCCTCACATGCTCTTTCCATGCTTAAAGCAGTATTCCATGATCCATGACAATGCCGTTTCATATTACACGTATGAAAAGCAAAACCTTGACTGTAAATAGATTACCAATGCAGCTGCATGCCATGTACTGTACGAGTCCAGAATGAAAACTAACAAGTAGTCAATTAACTACATGTGGGGTGTATCTTGTATGTGATAAAAATATGCAGTAACAAAGCAATTCCGAACGTCAGAATAATTTGGACTATTCCGAGTTGTGGTAATCATGTTTAATATCCAACTCAACAAAACTAACAACTCTCTTTCCTCATCCAGCAAGTCTGAAGACTTCCAATTTCCAAATGTATTACGTATATATGGTGAGTCAAATCCTTTGTTTAACAAGAGATTTTGGTAATAAATCATGGTGAAAAATTGAGCAAGAAAAGTTTTTAAAAAATCAAGAAATGTATTAAGACAATAGCAATGTGTTTCAAAATTCTTAATGAACTAAACTATTTTACCGCAGTGATCAAGGCAGCAAGATTTTCTTTGGGTACATACAGCAGAGTACCGTATATGTCTTCCAACATCAGAATATCATAAACATATCTATTTTTTTCATGAATCATTAAGAGTTGAATTAAGACCGAGATCACTTTTAAAGGCCTTAAATCAGCTTCCACCAACACACCTAGTTTGTTATACTTGACCATAACAGTCTGGATATGATGCCACCCACTGGAGTAATTATGATGACCGAGCGGCATTGCTGAACACCAATTACAAAACCGTGGATTAAGAGAGACTGAATGTTGACTAGGTTGGCAGAGAAAATCATCTCTATAACCACCAAGTAGCATAAACATATAGCTGACACTGGGTAACTGTCAATTTTCTTTGTGTTAAGTTATGTTAGTGTATACTACACCCACATCCCAGTTTCTAAACTCCAAAAAAGTTGTCAACTTAAAGACATTTGTACATGATGACTACATGTACACAAATTTAAATACTATGTGTAGTCCATCTTTTATATTTTTGATGAAATCAGGAGTTGGGTGTTCAATACAGTTATACATTAATTCAAATCATTGTTTTTTACTGAAGAGGGGCATCCCACATCACTTGACATTGGCAAATCTTCCAAAGTCATAGTTACCTGTGGCTGTGGTATGTTCAGTCTGAAGTGGGTCCAGGCTGTCAGAAGCTGGCATTCGCACCAATTTTTCAACTAGATTAAACCACGTAAATTTTGGCACAGTTAATCTCATATTCAGTTGAAATATGAAAATAGTATGATACATGAAATATAATAATGAAAGTTGTGATTGCTCCCACCCACCCCAAAAGAGCACTTACCTGTTGTTGGTTGTAGTGGGTCCTGGTTGGCACAAGTTGCCACCCTTAGTCTTTTACTGACAGGGTTGAAACCTAACCATCCCCAGCCAGATCCTTGCACAGCAACAGATGCATTGCTCAATTCAGTCTTCATAGCTTCAAATGAGCCAAAATCCCGCTTGATAACTTCCATGAGATCCCCAGATGGTTGCCCTCCCCCATTGGGGCTAAGGACCTGCCAGAAGATGGAGTGATTTATGTGGCCACCACCATTGAACTTTAGAGCTGGCTGCAACTGAATCACCTGATTGACGTTGTCTGCAAAAAGAAAAAGTTAACACGTCAAACTTTTCTATATCCACATGTAAAAATCTGAAACTGTTTTCTCAAGAGCAAAAGATCATTTGCATGCCGTTTTCAATTTTGAAATTACCAATATAACACTACCAAATAATGCATTGCCCTTCCAACGTTAAATACTGCTTACAGTAACATTATCCTGTATATTGTTGGCCTTGATAATTCTGGTCTGTTTCCTTATGATGTATGACAGAAGACTACTCTTAAATCCATATACTGAATTTGTCAACTACTGAAAAAGTTAAGTCAAGGAACACATTCGTAAATAATTGCTATATTTATAAACAGGCAGATTGTCAAATCAAAATAACTGGAATTACTATTCAGAAATCAGTGAAGGATATAGTATGTTGTATATTGACATAGAAATTATTCATATACACACTGACATAGGTATATATCCAAAGGTCATCTAATTTTCCTCTTTATTTTACATGTTTAACAAATAGAAACAGAGTAATGATTATAACAATATAACTAGTTGATTATCCACTGAATTTTGTATAAACCAAGTAACTGGTCATTCACCATTATAATTTATAATACATAACACAAGAACCTACTTGTCTCCATTGCCTCTGCTAATTTCTCTTCTGCAATGTTGAGATTGTTGACATAGGTAGCATGATGTTTTGTGTAGTGGATTTGCATGATTTCTGCAGAAATGGCAGGTTCCAACGCATTGAAGTCATAGGGAAGGTCTGGCAAAGTATGCTTCAGGCGGCTCGCCAATGTACCCAAAGCCCCTACATGTTTGGGCACACTAGAAAATACAAAACGGCCATTATGTAATTTATGAATGCATGCTTTTAAATACGATTTCAAGTTTATAATAACATACAAATAGAAGAATCAGATACATTGTTATAAATGTATCATCCTTTAGTTTCCATCGTTTAAAGATCCATCTCAGATTGTTCAACCCTAAATAATGGCTAAAAATTTAAAACAAAACAAAAAAAACTTATGGTATTGAAGACAGACAGGTGAAGGTATTTTAGTCACTGAGACAAAATTTCAGTTTTTTTCATCTGTTTCACTTTTTCCACTGAACTGATACCTATTGTTGACATAGGTAGCATGATGTTTTGTATAGTGGATTTGCATGATTTCTGCAGAAATGGTAGGTTCCAACGCATTGAAGTCATAGGGAAGGTCGGGCAAAGTATGCTTCAGGCGGCTCGCCAATGTACCCAAAGGCCCTACATGTTTGGGCACACTAGAAAAAATCTCAATGAAATTTGGCAGAAAAATTCCAGACCATTCACAAACCATAATACATATTATATGGATTTAGCCCAACAGGGCCTGATAGGTGGGGCAAAAGGGGTCGAATTGGCTGAAATTTCAAAAATTGTCATCTTCAGACCTAGATATGCTAGAATCAAATATTCAGTACTCTTCGTGGTGGAAAGGTTCAAAGGGGCTTTATAAAATTTATGAATTTCATTACCCCCAGGTCACCCATTCTCCCCTGCCGGAGGGGGTTTAATTTACTCCAGTTCATAAAGAGAAAGACAACTTTTAGGGCATATTTTGCATTTTTTCATTTGGAAATAATTTAAACTTGGTTAATGATTATCGTGTGATTGCAATGTGATGGTATGATTTTTTTTATTACAACTTAGGTGTCCTTTAACACCCATGGGGGCCTCATGTTCCTGTTTCCTCTAGCTGTGCCCGGTCTATCTATACTCTGATAAGCAACACCATTTGTCCAGGGATGCTTCATCCCAAATTAGCTTCATATTCCCCTTCTCATGTATATTTGTACCTTTTTACATAATTTGTTTAGGTCTACCTAATTAAGCATCACACCCGGTTTATTTATGAAACACTGAAGAATCCCCTAGGTACAGGGACACTCAATACCAAATTCAGTTTGAATACGTCAGTAAGCTCAGGTCATAGCATTTATTCATAAAACATTTACGGTAATTATATTTGACTGGTGTTCTCCATATCATATAATTTACTACTTCTATGAAGGAACATCATGTCATATTTAATAAAACTAAGAATTCCATTTCCTTCAGTTACATTAACACTGTAGTGTAGCCTGTATGTTGAAAAAAAAGTTGGGACTGTTTAAAAGATGGCAGCTGCCAAAACAAGTAGAAGGTGAGTCCTCAGAACATGGTGTTTTTTTTTCTACTTTTTAGTCTTATAATGAAGCAGATGCTACCGAACACAGCTTATGTGCACCTGCCTATTGACCATAAGGCTGTAGGTTCAGACCCTGGGTTTGTTCTTTAATCCTTTTTAACCTAGTTGCTCAACTTTGCCTGCCTTATCCTTTTAGGACTCAGGTTTCGACACAGGTATCATTTTGGGCTGTTTTCGGGACAACTTGAGGAATGTTGTCAAATGATATCAAGGAATCCTAATTTTAAAGGGATCATTGTTTAGTGTTCAATTTAAAAGAGGGGCTAAATTGTTCCATGTTTTTGATGAAAGATAGATGCTCTACCAATTGAGCTACCGGCGATCGACCCAGTCCAGTTCCACAACTACTATTCTGAGCTACATGCAGTTAAATGCTATATTCCTGCTGATCAACACCGCATCGCATGTGATAAGTATCCTTAGATACATAAGCCATGCAAGTTAAGTTGATGTGGGATAATTATTAACTTGGAAACTGAGCTTAACCATTCTTCTTAACCGTAGTGCAGACAGACGGACGGACAGACAGACAGTCAGAGGGATGGAAATCGCTAATCTATAAGCCCTGATTGCGTTCCAATCTGGCCAAAAAGCTCCCAAATAATCTGATACTTGGTACACAACTCAATGTATCTTGCAAGATTTCTGATTCTCCTGTGCCGTAATATCGATACAAAACAGTTTTTGTTTTGTTTTTATCAGGTTGGGCACAACAGCGCGTATGGGTAATAATCCTGCATTTGGGTAACAGATACCCATTTCAGTAACAATTCTTTTCTCTTTTTTTTTTGAAATGGGGAATAATGTTAAATGAAAACACAAAGTTCTTTTAAACAATGTGAACAAATAAGGCATTATTCTTTCAACATAATCAAATAAAAAAAAAAAAATCAATGAGGTACAATTGTGCACAAAAATTTGTTAATTCAGTTGTCTAAATCTTTGTGAAAATGACAAACTGTACCCCCTCCATTGCTATTGTGTGTTGTAGAGTAGCTACAAATAGCACACAGAAAAATAATGTTCACTTGTCACATTTACACTGGATTCCATTGACTTAACACTGATGTCAATGGAAAGAACAAAGTCAGTGATATCATATGGTTTGCCATTTTCACAAAAAGTAAGACACTCAGAATTGATATTTTTTTGTGTATAAATGTACTTCATTGTGTTATTTATCAGATTTAGTTGAAAGATTTTAAGTTGAAGCGTTTAAAAGAATTTTGGGGATTTTTTTTTATTTCAAAGTATTACCCATTTCAGTTATAAAACTGTTATTGAAATGGGTAACTGTGACCCAAATTCAGGTTTATTACCTATACATGCCATATGTCCGACCTGTTTGTCTTAATTTAAAACTTGTGCATGTCTGTACTGATGTATAATTGTTCTGTATAATTAAAGCTAGTGTAGCTGCATTAACGTAGGCTTCTAACGACGAGAATTTTAGTTATAAATTGCGCCCAGTCGGTTAGAGGAGGCGGGTATTAATATTAGTACTAAGTTTAAGCACAGACTTAGATCCGTAGTTTAAGCATAAAATGTAGTTTTTTTCACAATGCATAAGCTATAGATAACTAGTTGAGCACTTGCAGGACCTATAACATAAGTTTAATGTGATATCTGTGGACTATAAGAAATAGATAGATAAATAATATCACATGTAGTTACAGTGACACATTCAGTCCTTCTCTAACTTAGTGTTAAAACTTTGTGTTAAGTGTTAACACTAACTGTATTTATAAATTTTCATTTGTATCGCGCACTATCCGGGATTGGAATTTATTACCAAACTCAGTGGTTAACTGTGAAAAAAAAAATCAATTCAAGAGTGCCCTAACACAGTTTTAGAAACGTAATTAGGTCTTCAGCGCACACCCCTTCAAGCCGCGATAAGTAGAGCTCATAAGTGAGTCAAATTCGAGAAAACACAGATCTTATACTGTAGCCTGTAGGTATGACCACGGAATTAGAAATGTTATCTAAGTCCGTGGTATGACAAGTCATTCAAGTGCCCTTCAAATCTCCGTCTACTTTTTCGATTTTTATGGCAAAACGAATATTATATAAAAACCAGAAAATTCACCTTCATAATGAACTCTATCTAACCACGTGACAATTAACTTGTTAGTAATTATCACCTTTTGATTACGGTGGCCGTAGCAGACAGCATGTTCGATCGTTTCGCCGGTCTCGTAAGGAATTGACCTTGACCTATCCGATTCTTTAAAATATACAAAATACTAAATAATATGTATGAAAAGAAACGTTTGTAAACAGAAAACGAATTTTATAATCCAATTGTTTAACGTTTTAAGAATAGGACAAATAAATAAAATATTTATGTGTGAAAAAATAGTGTTTAAAATGAATAGTATTCTTTAAAATGTTGAATTTTAGGATAGTTTACGCGTCATAACGTTCCATTTCTTTAATCAGTGAAGTTTAAATATATATTGACCATTTGATGATAATTATTGTTTTTTTCACAATTATCATCAAAATACCAATAAAGAACGACTTTCACGTTTTTTGTTTTCAAAGCAAAATTTCTTTTCAAAATCAAAATGAATTTCTTTGCAATGGAAATTATTGTTACTTGCCCCTTCTGCAGCCTTCCCATAATTCCTATGTTAATTACATATGGCGGCCCCCTTGTGTCGCTGTACAGTTTGAAACGACGTTGAAATTTACATTTGATTGCAGATTTTCGTCGCCAACAAGTGTCCAGAAGACTCAGGTGAAATTAAGAAGCAGCATTTGATGAATATTGCATATTTATTTTACACGACACACATTATGTATAGAAAGGTTTTAAGGAAGTAATAAGGCGTGGCGAGCACCTAAATCGACGCCATGATTAAGATTTCGAAGGGAATGCTTAATCCTTTTATTTCGAAGTACTATTCTTTATAGTGTCGATCCCGATCTCCTTCGTGGTTTATTTCACTAACTAAACATCGTGTTTTCTTCCCTTATATAAGTTATATATCACTTTTCTTCGATGGTTTCGCTCATTGATTTGTATAGGTTACTAGGACGCCACCAGGGGTGTGCATTATGATATGTCCTACTGAACTAGTACAGTGTACATAAAAGTGATATTGTGAATGATTGAGTCATTTCCCCAAAAAACATGTTATCTGCATTGTTATGGAAAGCAAGTACAAATTAATGGTGATTAAATTGTTAGAAATGGATTCGCCTATTTTTTGTCTTTGATTGTGTTCTCGGAAATTATGCATAGAAAGTGAAACTGTTCAAAATTTATTCATGTAAAACAATAAGGAGGCAGTACCTAAATCGGATCACTTTTTGCAAAAATACATAAAAATCAATAAATGTGTCAGCAAATCAGTTAATGAGTTATAAACATAGTTACTCCAGATGAGACCTCGGTCTCGAACTTTCAAATGCATGAACAATTTTTGGACCTACATAAAACACAAGAAAACAGACTTCACAAGTATCCCCCATCTAAAAGATGATGGCAAGCTCATTTCAGATTCCTAATCAAAAGCAAACCTACTCAATAAGCAATTCGAATCAGTTTTCTCTACATCCAAAAACATATCTCCTGACGTCTTTTCTAAAGAAAATCATATGAATCCAGATATATCCAACCATGAACACACCCCTCATTACCCCAAATGGTATTCAAAAACTACTAAAAAATCTTGATAGTTCCAAAGCACCAGGGCCAGACGACTTGAGTCCAAGAGTTTTGAAGGAATTGGCTAGTGAAATTGCCCCTATTTTGAGTATAATATTCAACTCATTCATACAATCTGGCACTGTTCCGAAAGATTGGAAAACCGCCCATATTGCTCCAATATTTAAAAAAGGCCAAAAATATGATCCTGTAAATTACAGACCTATCTCACTCACTTGCATTTATTGTAAAATAATGGAACATGTCATAGTGTCACACATCATGACACATTCAGATTGTCACAATATTTTGTATCCTTGCCAACATGGTTTTCGAAAAATTCAGATCCTGTAAAACACAACTTTTATAATTTGTTGATGATATTACCAAAACTCTTGACAACTCAAAACAATCGGATATATTGGTTATGGATTTCTCCAAAGCATTTGATAAAGTCAGCCACTCTCTTAAGCTTCTTAATTACCAACAAACTCAGTCATTATGGTATAGATGATAAAACTACTTCCTGGATCTCAAACTTCTTAAAAAATAGAACTCCATCAGTACTTGTTGAAGGCGTCAAATCTGAGTATGTACCAGTTTTATCCGGCGTCCCCCAGGGATCTGTACTGGGGCCTAGTCTGTTCCTATTTTATATTTATGACATGCCAATTGGCTTGAACTCCATGGTCAAACTGTTTGCGGATGATACCATCGTATATCTGACAATTACTTGGGAAAGATGCCAGGACCTGACAGTCTGACCTGGACAAACTAGCCATTTGGGAGAAAAAATGGTTAATGGCTTTCCACCCAGATAAGTGTTATGCTCTCACAATTTCTAAGAAATAATCGCCTTAAGATGTTCCATAAAATTCATCAGGGCACAGTGGCCATATCCACGACTGACAGGATGCACTGAGCCAGAAGAATTCCTAGAAATTCCCACCAGGTCCAATACCAACAGTAATACTCGAAAACACTAACTAGACATCAATAAAAAAAATCCTCGTACCATACTAGACTGGAACAAACTACCATCTGACATTGTTAACTAAATTTTCCTTCTCTTAACTTTAACTAAGTGATTAATTATTATGTAATATATATAGTCTGTCATTTGTGCTGCATCAACCCAACGTCGTGACAAAATCTTTGATTAGTTCAACTAGTGCCAGATTGTATGGACGAGTTGAATATTATACTCAAAATAGGGGCAATTTCACCGGCCAATTCCTTCAAATTGACCTATCTAAAATAGGTCTTTTGAGCTATTTTCATGTGATGTTCTTTTTTAAGGGAAACGAAACAAATTCGCTATTAAAATAAGGTTGTATCATTAGGTTGATAGCAAGAGACATTAAATATATAAAGTATTCTTTTCTTTTTAAAAAATAATGATGTAAAAAATCGGAAATTTAACATTTATGAAAAAAATGAAATTAAAACTGTATGCGTTTTGTAGTCACCATTACCATAAACCTTATTGTTTTATGCGACTTTGCTTTGATTTAATGAAAATTGAAATATGAGAAGATATAGCTTAATACAGCTATAATGTATTGGTGAATAAAGCTATTTTAGGTCTATATAGCTCAATCGGCAGTGTGTACTGGACCTGATGTAAACTTAGAATAGATAGCCATGCACCATTTCTTGTCTTCATATGATTAGTTTTTAAGTTCAAATAGCATAAGAAGACGTAATTCAAACTCAAATGTCAGTGTTTTGATTACGGTTTTTTTAAAAACTGGCGCGTGCAACGACTTTGCATTCATTTTTGAACTATAGGAATAAATTCACACTACAGAAATACTTTTTGTCATATAAATTCTAAAGTTCATCATAAAATGTTCTCAAGTGAGCCCCGGGTGCTAATTTCTTTTGTAAGAACACCCATCGATATTCTTCCTTTGATACAACCATAAATGGATATAATTCCTCCTCAGATTTTTCACTGATTTGATAAAATGATGGTTTGGTGATCCGTCACCTTAGATGTTTTCTAGAAGTGAATGCATGCAGGATTCAATGAGTGAGCAGACATTGGATCAGTTTTAATAGTAGTCTTAAATATTTTCTATTTTAAACTTTATGATTTTTAAATATAAAATTTCATTATTTGTTATTTACTAAATCTGATATTCATGTAGCGAAAATTTTCGCTGGCCCCAACAGCAAACATAAAGACATTTTGACAAGTGGATGTCTAATGTAGGGTTATAATATATATATCATTAGAGCACACTACACGTGTACTACATTTCTAAACATGGACTTCTTGTGACATGAACGGTACTCTGCATTACCGGTAAAATCCAATCGCTCCATACCACCTTACACGTCAACCCGTACCAAGATTTAGTACATCCGTATCAAAGAGTTTAATTTGTTCCTAAGCGCTGATCAGTACCATATATATTTACGTACTTAAGTAAGGAACCACTAAAACCCTTGGTAAAGATGAACCAAATTTTGGTACGGGCTGTCAAGTACTGACTGCAGATGGTACCGGGTATGGAACTAGTGGACTTGTATTATATGTGCAGTAACACCAGTCTACATACTACCAATAAATGTTAATGAGCGATTCAAATTCCCAAAACCATCAATTTGTTTACCAGTTGAAGTTAATTACCATCCTTAGCTTGCTAAAGATTTAATTACTACCTCACAATTTTGTTGGATTATTTGTTGTTTTTGATCCTCACTATATTATGATTAAATGTGTATTTTTATATTTTTCAGGTCATAATCATGACAGACAGCCCGCCATCACCAAAGAGGGTAAGACCTTTATTGCTGAATAGTCTACATGTTTCCCATCCTGACCAAACATTGCTTTATACATTCACCAGAGCAGACAGAGCTATCAAAATAGAAATGATAATATGCAGTGTTACCCTGTTATACTATCCTCCTCGCATCTGGGTTTTTTTTCAAACAAGTTTGGCAATACATTGAGTTGACCATTATGATTCCATTTGAATAGATTCTGCTTTGTGTACTCCTAAAACTTAAGATTTGGTTTAAAACTTCCAAAATATATCATGATCAAATATATAACACTGGAAAGGTTTTAGTTTGCAAACAATACATTTGATATGTGAATGATCTTTCATAGTAGTATATACATGTAAGTAGTTATCAGTTTGTGTCTTTTGCCCATCTGTCCTTACACAATTTTTATGAAATATTCTGATTTCCGAAGAAATACTGGACAGATCCTTCTTAAGTTTTATATGTAGGTGCCCTTATTATAATTAGTCCTTAGCTGCTGTGTGCATGATTTAATCAGATATTGTGATACAAAGAGTATAAAATTTGTCATAAATTTTAGTTTGATCTCATTAAAAAGGTGCATTGTTAATTCAGCAATATTTCCATTCTTTTCAGGTGAAAATTGAAACTGTTGATCTCAATGAACTTACCCGTGAAGAATTGATCAACAAGTAAGATTTTTTTGATTTTTTTTTTTTTAATAAAGAAGCAAGATATCAATGGTCAACATGAAGTTCTACTTATTACAGGATTTCATATCTGGATGTTCAAAAAAAAAGCAATAAAATGTAAGAATAGTAAACTGAGTCTTTTTTATGATGCTTGAATGGTAAAATTTATTCAAACTCTAGGAATATTTCATTTTTGTCAGCTTTAGCAATATTGCTATATATAATGACCTTCTTTTGACGTCCAGGACCAAAATTTTGTAACTTTACATAAAATAATATAAAAAAATGATCTATAAAAGCTTATAGTTTTCAGGATTATGTTGAAGTTATTTATTCTTTTAAACTTTATTTGCCAGAGTGAAAGAACAAGAAAAATATGTGCGGTATCTAGAAGAAAGACAGACAAGAAGTCGGAAAGGAGGTATGTATTACAACAAACTATTCCTTACAGCCGGTTATCATGTTAATGCAAGTCGGTTACATGAAGTAAACTAAAGACTGACTGATCATGATAGCAAACAAATATTTTTGGGAGGAACCCAGATCACTTTTCTAAATAGTTGCTGTTAGTTACCGTAAATTTGTGGGTATTGTGTGCACTCGGATATAGTGCGCAGGTACGTTTTTGGGGTCAGATTTGAGGGAGGGGGGGGGGG